ATTTTTCTACGTTATAGTATTGCCAAAGTACTTTTGCATGTTTTTACAATTAAAAGTTGGTGTATATTAACCACAAGAGGAGATTAGGGGCAGTTGTAACCAAGTGGTCATGGTAGTGGAGTGTCAATCCACCATGCACTGGCTTAATTTTCACTGTTCGCCCTATATATTTAATTAATTAATTATAAAAAAGTACTCCATGAAGTGGATTTCTCATAACCTTTTTACTGCCATCAAAAAGCAAAAGTTTCACTATATTTTTTCCTAGCTTTGATGAAGAGGTTCCACAACAAACTGGCCTAGTTAACTTGGTAACTAAAGATATACATAGCAACCTTCCATATATTTGGTGTAATAGTAGAAAATGCAAAAGCAGATTTACACAGGAACTTATTTGTGCTGGTAATTTGCTTCGGAAAGTAAAGAGAGTGAGGGATATTAGGGAGGCTTGTGAAGGTGCACTTAGTTTGAATAGTTTGATTATATTAAATATTTAAATTGTGCATAAGAAAATGAACTATGAGGCATATGTAACTGTGGTTACGTAGTTTTGACTAGTTTAACTTATTTATGCTATATTTGGTTAGTAAACATATTTCATTTATTGGGCATTATTAAGTCATTTTTGTATAACAAATTTTCACCAGAATCATCCACAACATCGTCCGTATATTTTCTGTGTTTCATTTTGATCATAATCAATTATTTCTCTAACAGGTTTTATGGGCTGGCTTCGATAAACTAGAGCTTAGTCCATCTTCCTTCAAGAATGTTCTACTTCTTGGTTATTCTAATGGATTTCAAGTGCTTGATGTGGAGGATGCCTCTAATGTCTGCGAACTGGTATCCAAGCGTGATGGCCCAGCTACTTTTTTACAGATGCAGCCCACGCCAATGATGTCTGAAGCTACTGAAGGATTCAGAGCCTCACATCCTTTGCTCTTGATTGTTGCTGGTGATGAGACCAATGGCACAGGTATGGTCCAAGGTGGCCGTCTGAGTGCATTAATTAGAGAGAGCGTCAATGAACCTCAGGCAGGAAATAGTATCACTACTCCTTCAGTTGTTAGGTTCTACTCACTCAAATATCATAGCTATGTTCATGTTCTGAGATTCCGCTCTGCTGTATATATGATTCGGTGCAGTCCTAGAATAGTTGCTGTGGCGCTTGCTGCACAAGTAAGCAGGAAATGTACTATATTTTTTAGTATCATGTTGATATGGGATTCAACATAATGATTTATCTTTTCTGATTGCTTGAATTTTGTTTTGGCAGATATACTGCTTTGATGCTGTTACTCTCGAGAACAAGTTCAGTGTTCTGACCTATCCTTTACAAGGAACAGCTGGTGTTAACATTGGTTATGGTCCGATGGCTGTTGGTCCTAGGTGGTTAGCTTACGCTTCCAATAACCCTCTTGTACCAAGTACAGGCCGCCTTAGTCCTCAAAATCTTACCCCCTCTCCAAGCGTAAGCCCATCAACTTCACCCAGCAGTGGAAATTTAGTTGCTCGTTATGCAATGGAATCTAGTAAAACGTTGGCTGCTGGAATTCTTAATCTGGGAGATGTAGGTTACAAAACTCTCTCAAAATATTGTCAGGAGTTACTTCCTGATGGTTCTAGTTCTCCTTTGTCACCACATTCCAACAGGTCTGGAAGATTTCCACCAACAGGACTTCCAACTGAACCTGACAATGCAGGAACGGTGTGTATATTATCAAAGTTGGATATGTTCCTCTTATATTAATGCAGATGGATTTGAAATCATATGGTCTTTTATTTGGATAAATTAATTATTTGTAATGGTTCTATGCAGGTTGTTATAAAAGATTTCATTTCGAAGGATGTCATTTCACAATTTAGGGCTCACACCAGTCCAATATCTGCTCTCTGTTTTGACCCAAGTGGTACCCTTTTGGTTACAGCTTCAATACATGGGCACAATATAAACATTTTCCGGATTATGCCTACCCGTGTACATAATGGTTCTATCTCAGCACATTATGATTGGACATCATCACATGCTCATCTTTACAAACTATATCGTGGGCTAACAGCGGCTGTATGAATCTAAGAGTTATCTTTATAATGTTTTGTAGGGCAACTGACATGTCAGTTGTTTAGTATATTTGATGGATTTCTTTTTTTCTTGTACCAGGTCATACAGGATATCTCATTTAGTCATTATAGTCAGTGGATTTCAATTATTTCATCCCGGGGAACTTGTCACATATATGTTATATCGCCTTTCGGTGGTGATGCTAGCCTTCAACCACAAAATATCCATGATGGACCGATTCTTACTCCTAATCTCACGTCGCCATGGTGGGCAGCTTCCTGTTGCATGATCCATCAACAGTTACAACAACCACCACCTCCGATTACATATTCTGTAGTTAGTAGGATTAAAAATGCTAATTCTGGTTGGCTAAGCACTGTTAGCAATGTTGCTGCTTCTGCAGCAGGCAAGATATCTGTACCATCAGGTGCCGTTGCTGCTGTGTTTCATAATTCTCTGTATCATGACACTCCACGGGGTCCCTCCAAGGCCAACTCGTTGGAGCATCTTCTAGTTTACTCTCCATCTGGTCATGTCATACAACACAAACTTCTTCCATCTTCTTTTGTGGAGCCTTGTGATAGAAGCTCGAAAACAATACCTACTTCTGTGTTGCAACTTCAAGATGATGATTTACGTGTAAATGCTGAGCCAGTTCAATGGTGGGATGTCTGCAGAAGATTGAATTGGCCTGAGAGAGAGGAAGATATTTCCAGAATATTCTGTAATGATCAGCAAACTAGTGAGACAGTTATGGATTCCGGAGATAGTGAAGATAATGAAACTTCATGTTCCATGTCGACTACTGGCAGTGTACCTGGAGCAGAGTCGGCAAGAAGTGAAAGATTCCACTGGTACCTTTCAAATGCAGAGGTACAGATTAACTCGGGAAAGATCCCGATATGGCAGAAATCAAAGGTGGTCATTTTTTCTGTTTCTGAGCTGTTCATAAAAATGACTAATTTCTCCAAGTCGTTTGATGATGTATCTAATCTTTTTTTTTTTTATCGTAGATTTGTTTTTGTGTGTTGAATCCATCAAGAGCTAGTGAAGGTTTTACAGAAGATGGTGGAGAGATTGAGATTGAAAATTTATTTTTTGATGAGATAGAAATAAGGCGAAAGGATCTACTTCCTGTTTTTGAGCAATTTCGCTGTATTCAATCCAGCTGGAATGATAGGTACAGACTTTATCCCATTCATTTTTTCAAATTGCCAATCATGTTCAATAGTTTGAGTTTCTGAGTCTTGTTTCTGTTATTTGTTACTCGTCTACATATCTGATGCCATTTTGGTAGTTTGGGTTGAGCGTTGACTCTTGAAGAACCCAACAAAATGGAAAATAATTGGAGTCAATATCAGAATAAGCAATGAGTACTAACCAAGGATACAACCTGGCCATTACATGATCTACATTTTCAGGGTTGGAGGTAGATATCAAACTTCATCATCAGGGGTTTTCCAAGCTACAGATGAGTTTAAGCCTGTGTCTTTTGCATGTGGATCGGATTTTGGTAAGTAAAAGTTTTGAATTTGAAGAAACTTTGATATGGAATTTGGTAATCAGAAACTTACTAATCCCTAAATGTTTATTCTAGGGTCAGGAACTACACAAAGTTTGCTCGATTTTGATGAAACAGGATCTTGTGAACCTGTTAGCTTGCAGGCGATAGAGAAGCCTACAGCTGATGAATCTGGTCACGGTTCGCCTTCAATCATCAGCAAAGGTATTCCTGCATTATCAGAATCCAAAGCATCCACTACACTGCCAATAAAGGACTCCGTTAAAGATTGCACCCGACTTCATTCAGAAGACACCAATAGCTATTCTGTCAAGGATGACTCTGTCACTGATGGTGTGTCGACGAGATCAAGTAGCCTGTCATGTAGTGGTAGATTACTGGTTGTAGATAATGACTTTATGAACGATAAAGGAAGTGGTAAAGTTCAAAAGGCATGTTCTACAAACACCCACATGGAACACGCTGAAAGATCTGATTCCCACAATTCAGTGGAGTTTGCCCAATATTTCAATGAGGGTTATTGCCAAGTATCGGAACGCAATGACTGCCGCGAGTTGACTGAAGCTGTAACAGATGCAGACAGCAACAGCAGCCACTGCGAGAGAGAAAAGCCCGAGGAAGATGGGGACGACGACAACATGGTGGGAGGTATATTTGCCTTCAGCGAAGAAGGTGAACCTAAACTCGCAAGATCTTTTGTTCAGCACTGAATCTAAATTTTCTGTGTCAATTATTTTACCTTTTGATGATGCGGAACAGGTTGATGATGTGGAAGTTGGTGGCTTCATCATACGATGTCTTTCTACAAGCAAATTTCTATCTTGGATGGCTGAAACAACCTACAAACCGGAAGCTATCGACATGTACTGCTCCTTCTATTTGATTCTCATTTTGCAATCAAAGGTAGATAATGCATTTTTAGTTATGGAGATGGAAGCAAAAGGTCTGCCAATCCAACCACCTAGACCACCACGGTCACTGTACATTCTGTAGATATGGATTTTTAGTTCATGTAGTTGGACGTGCTTCCCACAGATGAGCTCTCCTTCCTGTTTACATTTACACAAGTATTCACCATTAATTAGTTTCAAGGGCGATTCACTTTCCTCTTCGTGGTGAAATAAACTTCGAACTAGTTTTCTATGTTTACAAGCTGGACTTTGTTGCTTATCAAGACTTGTGTGCTCTATGTTACTCGTTTCTGTGACAACACACTGTGTGGTAACTTAAGATTCGCATTCGCTGGCCAGGAATCCTCAGAACGAGAAAGGGAATCAATCCTTGGCCAGGAATCAGTCGGCCCCAAAGACGAACCATACTTGACTAGGCCTTCCTGACATCTGAAACACGATGGGAACGAAAGAAGCAAAGCCACTCTCTTTCATGGAAACTGGCTGCCTTACGTCGAACAGTTTGCTGCATGCTACCCGAAGCACATATCATGGACCATCTTCCCGGGGGCAAATTGCCAGTGGCGCGTACGAGCTTAGACCCTCCCCCGCAAACACGGCCACCGCATCGACGTGACACTCTATTGTCGTCTTCTCGGTCGGCTGATCTGATCACCAGGTTTGCCTTAACCCCACATTCGTCACATGACATGTCTCAGAGTTGCAGTCAGTCGAACGAAGAAGACATCTCCCACCTGAGATGAGGGCCTTTCTGTACCAATTGAGCGCAACCGGCACGTGGCGTTCCAAGGACGACTCCGACATGGCCGCCACGCCCTTGTCTGACGTGGCCACTGAGGTGTCCTTCCCTCTGTTCCCCGTACCGCACCACCCACCACCGAACCACTTGCCTCGGACAGCCGTTTATTGTTCCGGACCAAAACCACCAGTAAGATGACAATAATTAGAAGGCAAAACCCCGCACCACGCTTATAATGACGATGATGATGACGACGACGATAAAGAACCGTCCGCTCGCTGCAGAGGCGGGAGGAGGCATCGAGTACCCACATCGATTTCCCCTTCCTCCTCAAGCCAGCATCGATTACTACCATCTTCTGGGACACGAGACCCTCGCCGGCAACCAACCCACCGCAGAATAGAAAAGAGAGGGAGGCTTCTCCCCCACGTCTTCGCTCTTTACGGTTTCCGCCATTAAAGTGCTCACGCCCTTCCCCACGAGAAAGCCAGCAGGCCAACGTAGAAAGGGTGTACCGTGAACCCTCCGTCTTCTCTATTAAAACCCCCTCTTTTCCCCTTTGCAGCTCAAGGAAAGAAAGGAAAGGAGCGGTCGAAAGGAGGGGAGCCAAGGAAAGCAGAGCAGACTTTGTACAGAGCCGATGCGGTGATGGTTGTGACGATGGCGTTGCGGTGCTGCTTCTTGGGGGGTCTCTTACTTCTGCTACTGCTGGTGGCGTCGTCGAAGGGCGTGGTGGGGATATTGGACCCGGTGGACTTCCTGGCGCTGCAGGCCGTGCGGAAGCGGCTGGAGGACATGCCCGGGTCCGACTTCTTCTCCGCGTGGGACTTCACCGACGACCCTTGCGGTTTCCCGGGCGTCTTCTGCGCCGGGGACCGCGTGGTGGCGCTCGCCCTGGGTGACCCCCGCGCGGGCTCCCCGGGCTTGCAAGGCCGCCTCGACCCCGCCCTCGGCCGCCTCTCCGCGCTCGCCGAGCTGTCCCTCGTCCCCGGCCGCGTCACCGGCCCCATCCCCGACGCCCTTGCCCGCTGCAGCGGCCTGCGATTCCTCGCCCTCAGCAAGAACCTCCTCTCCGGCCCCCTCCCCGCCGGCTTCGGCTCCTTCCGCCGCCTCCGCACCCTCGACCTCAGCTACAACCAGCTCTCCGGACCTGTTCCCCCCGCCCTGACCGCCGCTTCCGCACTCTCCAACATCATCCTCTGCCACAACCAGCTCTCCGGCCCAATCCCGCGCTTCCCGCGCTCCGCCGCCCTCCTCCGCCTCGACCTCAAGCACAACCAGCTCTCCGGCCATATCCCGCCGCTGCCGTCTTCCCTGCAGTACCTCGCCCTCGGCTCCAACGCGCTCACCGGCAGCGTGGACGCCGTGCTCCCCCGCCTCACCCGCCTCAACTTCCTGGACCTCAGCTCCAACCTGCTCGAGGGCCCCATCCCCGGATGCGTGTTCCGACTCCGGCTCGAGGCTCTCCAACTCCAGCGCAACGCCTTCTCCGGGCGAGTGGTGCCCCAGGGAGACGTGGTCATCCCGGTGGTAGACCTGAGCTACAACCGGCTGTGGGGATCCGTTCCGCCGCAGCTGGCCGGCGTGGACCGCCTGTACCTCAACAACAACCGGTTCACCGGGGAGGTTCCGAGCCGCCTGGTGCAGCGGCTCAGCAACGGGATGCAACTGCTCTACCTCCAGCACAACTTCCTGACAGGGATCGAGTTCGGCCCTGCTGCAGCTGCCATCCCCGTTGGCGCGGCCCTCTGCCTGCAGTACAATTGCATGGTTCCGCCCTTCGACACGCCCTGCCCGCTCAAGGCCGGCACGCAGAAGATGCGCCCCGTCGACCAGTGCCCCAACTGGAGAAGCTAATCCGCCCCTTCGTGACCACCATCACCGCCTGTTCCAAGCAAGCACGATCGAGTCAGCCGAAGACTTACAGAGAATTACTACGATAAAAAAAGTAGCTTATTAACATACGGTAATAATAA